GTCAGTTTAATGGGGTCGCAAATGCCTCCTTAACGAGATATAGCGGGTCAAAGTTTCTTTAAAATTAAACATTATCTGCAATAAAAAACCCTTTTTTAAAAATATTGTCTACGCCATTGCTAATTTTGTCAAACGGGCGGTAATTTCGTGTAAAGTGATCAAATCTATCAATTGGTCTCTTACAAAACTTTGATTAAAGCAATAGTTTTTAAGAAAAACACGTTTGTAGAAAATGTGTTAATCCAATCAAAAATTGTTGCTTTAATTAAAATTGTGTAAGAGACCAATTGATAGGTAATTGACCACTTTACACGAAAATACTGCCCGTTTGACAAAATTAGCAGGAATAATGTTTGATTTTAAAGAAACTTTAACACCCTTATACCTCGTTAAGGTTGCATTTGCAAGCCTTGTATATTAAGACTTTTCATCTTAATTTTTGATGTATTACCTGCCCTAGAAGTCTTGTCAGCGGTTGTTTGAATCACTCTGTATATTGAACGTGTGAAGGGCGCTTTAAACATTCGTATAAAATCCATTTCTTGGAATATGAGTATGGAAATGTCCCAAAGTGTTAATAAATATGTCCTCTTTCATTGTGTAAGTCAAAAGTTCATTGTGTATCTTGGATCCAAATAAGTTGACATAACTTATCAGCTTCCTCATTACTTTCATTTTTATTCAAATGTCGCAATAATGTGGCTATAGGGTGTCATTTCAGAAATGCACCAGAAATTATAACCATAATGGCCGGATAGATATGCCGGATAGATAACCGGATATCCGGCCGAAGGGGATCCCGAATATTCGCTTTTCGCAAAATCACTATCCGTTCCATCACTATGGGCTACATAATAATAAATAAAAGGTGTTCAAGCAGTTTCTAACGTTACAGTTTAATCTAACCATAATACAAAGCATTATAAAAAATATACCATCCATAGAACTATTTTTAAACAAATGTCGCAGAACAACTAATTTAACTCCTAAACGATGTCTAAATTTTGCGTTTAATAAACCTACTGAAGAGAAGAAAATAAACTCGAAAGAACGATGAATAATTAAATTTATTAATGTAAATTAAGCGTAAATTAATTATTAAGCGTTCCTCATCAGGCACGACTACGAGAAACAACAAATAAAGATTAAATTAAATTTGTACATATGTGGAATTTAAAATTAATTGATCAAAGAATCCTTACAAATCTTAAAATAGTTACAAGTGAAAAAATAAAAAATATTCGTTCTGGATAAGTTTTGACATACTTTATTTTTTAAATTCATTCACATCTTTAATGTTTTAACGACTTTACACAAATAATTTTACAACTTCTTGTACCTACTCATACCCATCAGTTTATAAATTTATACACGGAAAAGTTTTTGGTGCTTTTCAACAATTTTTCATATTTCATTGGAGACAATCTCATAAATGATTTTACAAAGACTCAATGTATTCCTGAAAACCCTCAACTTGATGCTCCTCGTTTGACGGTAAATATTTTTTATTTTTTCACTTGTAACTATTTTAAGATTTGTAAGGATTCTTTGATCAATTAATTTTAAATTCCACATATGTACAAATTTAATTTAATCTTTATTTGTTGTTTCTCGTAGTCGTGCCTGATGAGGAACGCCAGGCGTTCGAAATTGTCAATAGCACCGAATTTACATTAATAAATTTAATTATTCATCGTTCTTTCGAGTTTATTTTCTTCAATACCTTACGATGAACCCGGAATCTACAATTTCTAAACTACTGAAGAGAAGCATCGTTCCGATTCCACATTTGTTGGTGGAATAGTTTTCAAATATTCAAAAGCGAATTAAAGATTTTTACCCATGCTATTGAATATATACAATTTCTTGGATCAATGTATTGAACAGTGCATTCTTAGTTAGCTGGACAGGTGTTTGATTCGTTTCTGCCTTTGAGGCTTCGCAATTAGTAAGTCATCTTCATCATTTTCAAACATATTTTGTTCATCTTTTTATGTTAAACGTAACACAAGTTTCTCTACTGTTTTGCTCTAGTATTGTTTGTTGTCAGCTGTAAACCATGTGCTAAACATAATTGATGGCTTGGTGTAATTAGGCGTCCCGCTTTTCTCATTATAGCAGCTCCGTCTATAGTAACTGCAACTACATCTTTTAATAAACTTAATCCAAATTCATTTAATCGCGTCTGTATCTTGGAAACACATTCTTTACCAGTAAATGAATGTTTAATTCTTATGAGACCAATGTTCCAAAATACTGTTCATATTCATAAAACGTTTATTAGAAATGGATGACAAACCATTCAAATCTCATTGGATGGATTCATCAAATCTAAGACTAAATTTTATTCCATTTTCCTTTTGTTTATTTATGAATTGAATTAGAATGAATTAATATTTATGAATATACTATTTAATGTAATGAATGTAACTTTTTGTAATTACACAGGTCAATTTCCTGAAGATGACTGTCATACAGTACGAAACCGGTAGAAATCTAATTTTTATACAATAAATATCATCGTTTAAGTGCAATTTTTATTTTCATTTAAAATTAGTGTCTAATGGAGTTAGTTCACTAATAATTTCAGGATAACAGCCAACCCAAGAATCCAATAATAATAATGATTTGGAACCAGTATTTGGAAAATATACGCTTTCATGGCAATTTTTCTTATGTGCTGATGTTAATTTTCCCGATTTTGACATTAAAACGTAAATATTATCGGCTTTAAACATTGTATTTGCTACCCTCAGTCTAAACGTGTCAGAGGTTTCTTTTAACACAATTAAAAGTAGGGAAAGCAGTTTTCCATCAGCAGATATTATGAGTTGAATAGTGTAACTATGACTAAACCACACATTCAACGGTTTTAACGCCTAAATCGCTTAATGTTCTTCCCCAGTGGCTCTCTAAGTTAAAACCGCTCTGATCCGAATTGTAGGTGTTTACAAATCCATATATTTGGAATTGTTGCATTGCGTTTTTAACGAAATCTTTCGCTAGTTAACCCCCACTATCCCCAAATGTATATACACTAAAAATTTTACTGTGTGACTAATTTACGGTTTTGTTTAAAATATTTTCAAAATACCTGACAGTTTTATCATATCATTCTTACGAAAAGTAGTTACATATTAACCCTATCGCTGGGGTTGATCTACGACGAATGAGAAAAAACACTTAACTAATATTTTTGAATGCACTACAAGTATATTTAACGCCATCAAAATCGATAGGCTGGTTTTCAAATAAACCCGAAAAAATAAGGGTAGTTCGCCCCTTTTCACCCTGTGGTATATGTATGATATATCAAATGAAAGCTTATTAAAAATGAATATCATCCCAAACTTTCAACCCCTAAAACTCGGCTCAAGGGCTTTTACCGCACGTATAAAAAAATACGTAAACCTTATTTTGGTCCATTTTATGGCTGTACCAAATTTCATCAAAGATCAATAAAATAGTGATTGGAAAAGTGAAGAAATCAAGATCTTTAAATGAACAGAAGTTAGAAGCCTTATTTGTGATAATTACAATCATCCAAACGCTTAAATGAACCAAAGTATCTTTAGAAGTTATCTTTAGACATGGTTTTGTAAAATTAGCCCAAGGTGACATTTTCGTTTTCATAGGACACTGATACAAACATCGACGAAATTATTAATTATTACTAATCCCTAAACGATCCCATTTAATATAGATGTTAAAAAAACTTGATTAAAATTTAATTGCATATCTAAGTAATTTTAATTTTAGATGCACGCGAAAAAGCAAGATTAGACATCCACGCAGCTCTTATAGATTCTTGCAACCATGGAGATTTTGACTCAATGCAACAATTACTCTCTTCATTATCAAAAGATGCCGAACTCATCGTTAATATGGCACCAAGCGGGGCAAATACTTTACTGTTTACGTAAACAAATTAATATTAATAATTTTTTTTAATTAATTTTTGGTATTATTTTTTAAGGGCATGTCAAATTGGTAATAAAAACATTGTAAAGATTTTATTGGAATATGGAGCCGACGGTCGATACCATCCAGTTACTAAATACTCCCCGTTATACATCGCTTGTTATCACGGACACCGAGAAATCGTCGAAATGTTATTATTAAGATTTCCCGAATTAATTAAGCAACACACCGTTGAAAGGTGGCTTCCAATACACGCCTGTTGTATTAACGGGCATATAAAAGTTTTGGAGTTATTGTTTCAATTTCCGTATCCGAAACATATTTTAAGAAAATTTAGGTAAATCAAAAATGTTAAAATCAAATTAAAAAAAAAATTAAACATGTTTTTTTTTTAGGGATATAACTGAACGTTGGGAATATTTAATGCCGTTTGATATAAATGAAAGAGACGCAACCGGGCAAAATATTCTTTACGTAGCTAGTTTATTGGGAAATAAAAAGCTGTTAGATGTTATTTTAAAATTTCGAGTTCGAGCGACGAAAATTGTACCCGAAGATGACGAAACAACCCCAAATTCCGAAAGTAACCCTCTCGTTAGTCCAATCAAACGTCGGCTTTCAAGCGGAATTATTTCAATTATGTCCAAATTAAATCTTTCTAGAGAAAGTTCCACCGAATCTGAAGTAATAAAAAAATTATTTTTGTATAAAAATAATTTATTTTTGTATAAAAATAATTTATTTTTGTATAAAAATAATTTATTTTTGTTATAAGGATTAATTATGTTTACTCAAACATGTTTAATCGACGTTTCGGCCTATTATAAGCCCATCATCAGGATTTTATTATAAATCAAAAAGACAAGTAAACATAATATTTTACAATTAAACAAAATTTATGTAAACGTTAGAACAAGTAACAAAAGCATGCGTTAACTTCATAATTGCAAAATAAAAAAATGATACAAAAGTTATCTGTGGCATTTCGCACATTTCAGCGTTTGTGTAAAAAATTGTATAATTTATTTTTAACAAGTAGGCTTTAAATTTTATAACAAAAGATACCTCCTGTCAAAATAACAATTAGTTTGTACCTGCAAAAAGTAAGCTTGTATTACAAAATTAATAAAAATGAATTACACAAACGCTGAAATGTGCGAAATGCACCTTTATGGAATGGCGTGCGGTAATTCAGCGAAGCACGGCGGTTGTATCAAGAGAAACATCCTGATCGTCCAGTACCACACCACAACTTGTTTCTACGCATTCACCAACGACTACTAATACTGCTGATAATGGGCGGCCTAGGGAAGTTGCAAATCCCTAAGTAGAAGAGGCAGAAAAATTGCTCAGAACTTAAACCTATCTTACTCGACGATTTGGAGAATTTTGAAAGGGCAACTTTTGTATCCCTACCATACCCAAAGAGTACAAGCCTTATTGCTAAGAGATTTTCCGCTTTTGGCTTTTTGTACATGGATGCAAAACAAAATAGCTCAAAATCCTGAATTTGGAGCGGAAGTTCTGTTTACCGATTAAGCATCTTTCTCATAGGATGGTATTTTCAATTTTCACAATAACCACATATGGGCAGAAGAAAATCCACATGAAATTACAGAAGGCCATCATCAGCAACAATTTTCCGTAAATGATTGCTGTCATCGTCGGTAATCCGGTAGGCTCACATTTTTACCGAACAGATTAAACGGTGCAGATTATCGACAATTTCTAGAAGAAGTACTGCCGGAACTGCTGCAAGATGTATCGCTTCAAGTAAGACAAAACATGTACTTTATGCATGATGGAGGTCCGGCCCACTTTAGTTTGGTTGCTCGCTAATAGTTGGATACTTGCTGTGTTCTATTCTTCAGGTAAGCCTCGACAAGAGCAACAGCGTCATTAGCAAAGTTATACACTTTAGATAGTTTCCTCAAGAGAATCTGATGTGACACGCAGTCAAATGCCCGCGTCAGATCCAAAAACATTGCAATGCAATAATGACTCCTTTCAAAAGAATCCAAGGACATGTCAACGAACTTGATAACAGCATCCGACCCTTTCGAAATCCGTATTGATTTGGGCAAAGCAAGTTATTTCCCTCTATATAAGAAACCATTTTATCATACATTGCACGCTCAAACACCTTGGAAAAAGCCGGCAGTACACTTATTGGCCCATAATTGGAGCAGTCCATAGTATCTCATTTTTTTATGCACGGGCACCACGTTAGCTATTTTCAATATATCAGGGAATTGAGAATCAGCAAATACTGAATTTAGAACATTTGTCAACGGTAGTACGTACATGTCTACATTCCTCTTTATAAAATAAGTTGGGATGGAAAAAACATCACGTGTAGGACTACTCTTCAATGAACAGAGCAATTCACGTACTTTAACAGGACCAACTTCTGAAAAATGAAATTGCGCTACTATTTGATCCACACATTCACATATGAGAATGGGATCAAGCATACCACTTGGCAGCCCTTCAACGATATCATTGGGAGTATCAACGAAAAATCTATTCAGCACATTCGGATCAAGATTACTATTTAGATTGCTTTTATCGTTGATTCTATTTTCATTTATTATTGATCGCACTACACTAGCTTTATTTTTTGCAGTATTTATAAAGCTGCTAGTTGCCTCCAGCTTAGATTCAGCTATAGCCGTTCTATACTCACAATGATAATCTTTTTTGGCTTTTAACAGATTGGGGGACTTGTAACGGCCGTATAACTCACAAACCAAACTATAGCCAGCACGCATTTCTCTGAGATTGTCATTGTACCATCTGACACCACAACACGCTTTCTAGTTGAGAAGCATTTCTCTGGAAAACACATATTAAAAGTATTCAAGAATCTCTCGTGAAATATGGCAAATTTATCGTTAGCATTGAAGTGTAGATCATCCAACATCTCCCACGCAAACTGACTAAACAAATTGAAAAACAACAATTTCCACACTCAGTCAACTTCCGACATATCCTATTCAGATACAACACACCTCCCACATCACCGGTGTACGGAACAGTAATGTACTGCGCCCGATGATCTGACAGATTGGGTTCCGTGACAGAGGTAGTGTAATTGCCAAAGGCAAAATTTATAAATATATTATCCAGACAGTTTCCGCCCTTAGTTGCTTCCGTGAGAGTAGGGTAAAAACGATAGCTCAAGGACAGGTCACACACCATAACAACGACCCCATCTCAACTACCAACCTTCAGGTTACAATCACCAACTACAAAAACTTGCCTAAACTGAGTCGGGATTTCCAAGAGACAACTGGCGTTCCGACAAAAAGTCTGAAAATCACCAGCAGGCGATCGATACAAGCAAACTACAACTCAAAATCGACACAATTGCGCTATCTCGCAATGGATTTCCAACGTTGAATTATTAATGGAATCGAGCTCTCAGATCTGGCGTAAGAAGCTTAGGGTTTTCCATTGCGAGACACGCAGTCCATGAGTAAATCATCTCTCTTCAGCCAATGTTCACTAATACATATAAAATCAAAATTACAAGTATTCTCAATCAAATACGCCTCAAACTCATCAATTTTATATCTAATACACTGTATATTAATATGAAACAAGGTTATAGATGGATTATCAACTAAATAGTATCCGGTATTGTTTGAATTGGACAAAAATTCGAATTTATATTACCAGTTTCTATCTCCTTCACCGTATTATTTACAATAGTGATCTGACCGTTACCCTTGTTACATTTCGATGTACGAGTTATTGTTTGCGCAACATAAGAAAAAACCTTATTCTTTCCCCGTATATTCATGTGGAGACCATGCTTTGTTTTGTCATGAAAATTCAAAATACTATTTACATCAACAAAAGAAATGCGGTTATTTTTTAGCGCATTCACAAAGTTAAAAAGTTTACAGTTAAAACGATCCTTTGTTCAGATCCTTTTCTTCATACCAATAAGGCACCGATAAGCAGGGGACATTACACCGCATTGACAGTTTTTTTATTTTCTCCAGAGTCCCACTAATCATTGGCTTCCATACTAGAACATCGTTAGTACCAGCAATCACAACGACAAAATCACTCCCATTGAAATCCCTACAAAGCTGTTCACTATGTATGTATGTATGTATGTAGAGAGAGGGGTGCGTAATTTATACGCGCACTTAGGCCCCAGTGGGCCCCTTGTGCATACTCCCTTGGAGGCTCGAGATGAGTTTAGGCTCACCTAAACGAGATCTTCTCTACCATCTCGAGCTGTTCACTATCATCACAGATTACATTTTCGTAGGTAGCATTCGATTTGCACACTATAACTGCACTGTAAGAACGTCAAACTTGCTATATATTCTGATTATAAATGTAGAATATTAAAAAAATGTTTAAATGTATTATTTCTAAATGTTTCGTCGTTGCTTTTTGCTTAAAATTGTAATTATTGTTCTCTTAGATTTATATTAAAATCCTGATGACGGGCTTATGATAGCCCGAAACATCGATTAAACAGGTTTGAGTAAACATAATTAATCCATGAGGAATGTGTTATTTCCCTGCGAAATTATCCTTATAATAAAACAAATCGTCGTAATTAAAATCATATACAATTTATTTTTGTTTTTAGGGTGAACACATCTCTTTAATATGTCCTTTAAAAATCGATATGTATTGTAATAATAACATAGAAACTGCCCTACATGCTGCTGTTAAAGGAAAACATTACGATATAGTTTTATCACTTTTAAACGCTGGTGGAAATCCTAATTTAATTATTAAAGCTTATTTAGATTATAACGAGGTAAAAAAATTTTTTTTAAATCAATTTATCGTTTAATTATTATTTTTAGAGTATTAGTTGTTACTCATTAGAAGACGACGTCAATTCCGGTCAATCAACAGCTTTAGTTGAAGCGTGTAAAAATCGCGATGTTCCAATTGTTGATTTATTACTACGTTTTGGGGCTCGCGATGACGATTGTAAAGCACTTTTTGTTACCGTTCAAAATAAAGATGAAACATTAACCGCGAAACTTCTTTCCATAAAAGTAAGTTAACGTTTTTATTAAATTAAATTAATTCCATTTATTTAATTTATTTTTAGTCAAACCCTGACCCAGAATACAAAATAAATAAAAAAGCGATGACTGAGAACATCAATTCGCCTCAATTCACTCTTTTCTCAGGAATGTCGAACTTAACTTACAGCACAATCTTTCCAAACACCCCAGCAATGATAAATTGGCACAACCAAAAATGTCATTTATCTCAAATTCGGACGCAATGGCTCATTGATGCCGCGCTGCATTTAAATCCAAAGTTAAAACAAAATCCGAGAAGTTACGATATAGCTTTATACGCGATAACTCGCTTGGATATTTCGAACAATAGCATAACTTCAATTCCTTTGGCCGCCTTTCAGCTTTACAGTCTTCGTTACTTAAACGTGGCTCAAAATAAAATCGAAAAACTTCCGATTCCGGTCGAATCGCCGAATAAAAAAACTCACCGAAGAAAATCTTCGAACGTCGTTGAAGAATTAAATTATAATTGCCCCGTTTTAGAGGAGCTGTATCTTCAAGATAATCGTTTGGATCAGATTCCGGATGCTTTGTTTCGATTACCCAGCTTGGTTACGTTGGTTGTTTCGAATAATAAGTTGCAAAATTTGCCGTATAATATGTGGTTAGCGCCGAAATTGAAAGAGTTGAACGCTTCTTTTAATTTATTGAAAGATTTGCCGGTTAATAACGTTATTGATAATACCAAAGAAGACTGTGATAGACTCAGCGTAAGCTCAAGCGATAGTCAATTATCGAGTCACACGGATGTTGAAGTTGAAAGTGACGCTTCTTGTTGTTCGGATGTGGAAAACGATTCGATTGGGTTTGAAGATGGGGTTGTTGCCATTAGGTATAGAAAGAAAGACAGATCTTTAATGTAAGTTTTTTATTTTTAATTAAAAAATACAATGAATTTCATTTAAGATGCAATATATTTCCATAGAAACCTACTTACTTTGTCCCACATAAAATGCAACATGTCAATATAATTTGATATTACAGTAAAACCTCAATATAACGGATCAATACAGAAAACGCAGTGTCCGTTATAACTCAATAAAAATATATAGCAATTTAGCGCTGAATAACACATAAAACTAGACTAGCACTAGAACAAACACTAGAACTACAACTAGAAATTGAAAATGATTCTAGTTCTAGGTATAGTGTTAGTTCTACGTAGTAACAGTGCTAGTGTAAAACTAAAACTAACACTATACCTAGAACTAGAATCATTCGGGTTTAGCCGTCTTTAAAGACGTGCGAGCAAACCCAAATGATTCTAGTTATAGTGTTAGTTCTACATAGTAACAGTGCTAGTGTAAAACTAGAACTAACACAATACCTAGAACTAGAATCATTCGGGTTTAGCCGTCTTTAGAGACGTGTGGCTAAACCCAAATGATTCTAGTTCTAGGTATAGTGTTAGTTCTACATAGTAGCAGTGCTAGTGTAAAACTAAAACTAACACTAGACATAGAACTAGAAACATACGGGTTTGGCCGTGCGTCTTCAGACCGAATGTTTCTAGTTCTAGGTCTAGTGTTAGTTCTAGTTTTAATTGTTATGCAGCGCTAGACCAAGATCTAGAATCATTCGGGTTTAGCCACACGTCTCTAAAGACGGTTAAACCCAAATGTTTCTAGTTCTAGGTCTTATGTTAGCTCTAGTAGCAGTGCAAGTATAAAACTAGAACTAACACTATACCTAGAACTAGAATCATTGGGATTTAGCCGTCTTTAGAGACGTGTGGCTAAACCCAAATGATTCTAGTTCTAGGTATAGTGTTAGTTCTACATAGTAGCAGTACTAGTGTAAAACTAGGACTAACAGTAGACCTAGAACTAGAAACATTCGGGTTTGGTCGGGCGTCTTCAGACCGAATGTTTCTAGTTTTAGATCTAGTGTTAATTCTAGTTTTAATTGTTATGCAGCGCTACACCAAGATCTAGAATCATTCGGGTTTAGCCGCACGTCTGTAAAGACGGCTAAACCCTAATGTTTCTAGTTCTAGGTCTTATGTTAGCTCTAGTGACAGTGCAAGTATAAAACTAGAACTAACACTATACCTAGAACTAGAATCATTCGGGTTTAGCCGTCTTTAGAGAAGTGTGGCTAAACCCAAATGATTCTAGTTCTAGGTATAGTGTTAGTTCAACATAGTAACAGTGCTAGTGTAAAACTAGAACTAACACTAAACCTAGAACTAGGTTTGGGTTTAGCCACACTTCTCTAAAGACGGCTAAACCCGAATGATTCTAGTTCTAGGTTTAGTGTTAGTTCTAGTTTTACACTAGCACTGTTACTATGTTGAACTATGTTGATTCTAGTTCTAGGTATAGTGTTAGTTCAACATAGTAACAGTGCTAGTGTAAAACTAGAACTAACACTAAACCTAGAACTAGAATCATTCGGGTTTAGCCGTCTTGAGAGACGTGTGGCTAGGTATAGTGTTAGTTATAGTTTTACATTAGCACTGTTACTATGTAGAACTACTATGTAGAAAGCCAGATCTAGCATTAGTTCTAGTGCTAGTGTTAGTTCTAGTTTTAGTTCTTATTCAACGCCAAGTTATTGTACATTTTTTTAAGTTGTAGTAAAACTTGTAAACAAAAAAATAATGATAACACGATGTTTTATGGATGAGATTAGATTTTTTGAAGTTCTTGGGTTTATGTTAAATTTCCTGTTAGAAATGAAGATTATTGTCAAGTTTAGTAGATTAGAATTGGGGTTGATGAAGAATATCCTGTTAAAAAGGAGGTTTTGATGAAGTTTATTTAGATTAAATTTAATCTAACCCTAATTTAGATTAAAGTTGAAATTAGATTTTCGATCAAAAATTAAAGATTCGTTGAAGTTAAACTTGCGGTTAAACATGGAAGTATACAGCCTGTTTCAGAGTAAGCGCCTTATTTTTTTAGCCACACTATGGGCACTAAGTACTTTCAAAATATTTGGCAGTAATATGTTTTAGGACATTCTCTACACGATGGTGATATAATATCAAGTAGCGGTAGACACAAAAGAAACAATTAAACTTTATCTACTTATTTATTTGGACAAAAATAACATCGAGTGTAAAACATTCATGTGCTACTAGATTAAAATGTTAGTAGCTTTTTGATGGGGAAAGCAACGAATTTTTAAGAAAAACAAAATACTATCGTAAAGAGAATGTTTTTAGGATCTCAATAATAAAAAAAAATTTTGGCATTCCATTTAAAAAAAGTTTACAGTCGCCATTTTGAAATAATTCGTCCAAATGAAAATATGATATCACCATCGTGTAGAGAATGTCCTAAAACATATTACTACCAAATATTTTGCAAGTAGTGCCCATAGTGTGGCTAAAAAAAAAATAAGGCGCTTACTCTGAAACAGCCTGTATATGATGTTGTATAGCATAGATTGGCTTGTGACTATTGAAGTCGGGTTAATTGTTGTCAATTTCCTGTTAAAAATAAACATTTTGATGAAGTTTGTGGAAGTACATGTTAAATTTACGCTCGATGTTTAATGATTAAAGTTATATTATTTGAAATTCTCTGGTTGATGTTAATTATCCTTATAAAGCCATCAAAACAACAATTTGCACGAGAATCGTAAATAGATGCTTAGATCCTAAGATATATCATATTTATGAATGCAGGGAAATTAATGTATTCTAAAGTATGCCTAAACTCAAAGGCTGCACAAATTTGAAATACTCTCTTTCATAGAAATCTGTCGTTCGGTCGAAATATGCGAATGAAACAGAAATTCAAAGAGTACTGGTTTTCCATAGAATTGGCAACTGTTAAACGTATTTTCTTTCTTGTTTTGCTGTTATAGATGATGAAGAATATGATGCACTTCAAACGAAGTGGATCAGTATTTTTGTCCAACTCGAAATTTGTAAATATACCAGAAAACTACTTTCTACAGAAAAATAGAAACTGATAATAATAATTTTCTTTCTCTATTTGTTGCTATGGATGATGAGGAATATGATGCGCTTCAAACTAAGTCGATCAAAAATCCTGCTCAACCCGAACTCGACTAGAATTACAAGAAAACCACACTTCCAGAGAAATAAATATTGGCAGAAATAATTTTCTCTTTGTATTTGTATCTCTGATTAGATGAGAAATACGATTCAATTTAAATTAATCAGAAATTTTGTTATTTTTGAAATTTGCTAGAATTTAGGGTCTAGTGTTTATTCTAGTTTTAATTGTTATGCAGCGCTAGACCAAGAACTAGAATTATTCGGGTTTAGCCGTCTTAAGAGACGTACGGCTAATACGATGCAATTTGAATTAAATCTGTTTATTACGAAATTTCCTGGATTTTAAGGAAAACTGATCATATTTGCTTTTTTAAGATGATGAACACTACGATGCAAGCAAAACTAAATTGATCAGAAATTCTGATCAACCCAAAATTTGCAAAAATATAAAAAAACTTGTTTCTTGAGAAATACAAAACGACAAAAATAATTTTTTTCTCTGTGCAGTTCTAACTAAGTTAATTAGAAATTCTGCTCAACCTCAAATTTTGCAAGAATTTACACAAGAGGCGATTTTCCAGAAAAATAAAAGATAACAAAAATTTTTTCTACTTTTATTTCAGTAAAAATAGACAACAATTTAGCGCTTAATCACAATTAAAACTAGAACTAACACTAGACCTAGAACTAAAAAATATCTGAAGACGCAATCCGAAATTTGGTCTAGTGTTCGTTCTAGTTTTATTTGTTATTCAGCACCAGATTGTTGTATAATATATCTTTATTGACGTGACACACGTCTTGAAAGACGAGTGAAAAATCATTAGAAAGTTTCTAGACACTTCTGGAGTCCAGAAACTGGACATCTTTAAAAATCTTCTGGAAATCTTTATAACTGTCTAGAAAGTGTTTAAACACTATTTGATAATTATAGAGACCATTAGAAAGCTTCTGGACGCTTTTGGATATCTTTAAAGTTCCCTAGTTTATTACTAGAAGTAGAACCAGTACTAAACCTAGAACTAGAAACATTCGGGTTTAGCCGTCTTGAGAGACGAATGGTTAAAGCCGAATGATTCTAGTTCTAGGTCGACTGTTAGTTCTAGTGACAGTGTTAAGTAGCGCTATTAAGTAATAGATAGCGCTAGATTGTATGTTGTTATTGAACTAAAATTAGAACTAATACTAGACCTAGAACTAGAAACATTCGGGTTTAGCCTCACGTTTCTCAAGACGGCTAAATCCGAATTATTCTAGTTCTAGTGTTAGTTCTAGTGATAGTGTCAAATTAGAACTAACACTAGCCCTAGAACTAGAAACATTCGGGTTTAGCCGTCTTGAGAGACGTGCGGCTAAACCCGAATGATTCTAGTTCTAGTTCTAATGATTGTTCTAATGACAGTAATTAGTAGCGCTAGTTAGCATAAGATATCGCTATGTTGCATATTTTTATTGCACTAAAACTATTGGGTTTAGTATTAATTTCATTCTATGTTGTGGTTCTAGGTCTAGTTTTAGTTTTACACTAGCACTATCACTAGAACTAACACAAGATCTAGATCTAGAATCATTCAGGTTTAGCGGTCTTGATAGACGTGCTGCTAAATCCGAGTGTTTCTAGATCTAGTGTTAGTTCTAGTTTTAATTGTTATTCAACGTTAGATTTTGGTATATTTTTATTGAACGACAAGTAGAGCTAACACTAGACCTAGAACCAGAAATTCGGGTTTAGTGCGTCTCTTAAGACGGAAACTCAGAGTTATCATATGGACGTCACCTTTTCCTTTGCAAAACTACCTAATGCCTGTATTATTAAGCTATGTTGCGTTTTATGTGGGACAGTGCAAGAGCACAGTAGATTCATATATTGCGAGTTATATGAAATTCCCAGTATGTATTTATTTTATTAATTTTTTTAGCCAATTAGATATTAGTAAACACCACATTTGGTCAAAAAGTGTTGATGTAACCGAACAAATCCTTCACAACGATGAATCAACAATGGAAAAATCATCCCAATTATCCGCCTTAAATCTCGCACATAATCTATTTACAAGCATCCCGGTGGTTTTACCCTGTCTAGCAGTCAATTTAACCCGTTTAAACATGGCGTTTAACTCATTGCGTTCAATGTCCCACATCACCAGTTACCCAAGCACGTTGAAACAATTAGATTTAAGTCACAATCAGATTAGCGTTTGGCCGAGTTTACCTCAAGTTGAAGCTCAAGATGTTATGGAGATGGCCAATGTGACTTGTTACGCTACGAATACCGCAATTTCAAGGGATAAACTTTCGGTTATTGGAGTTAGGAGGCAAAATCCAAGTAGAAATACCGTAAGAAATACGGTTTTACACACGGTTTGTTCGCATCGGAGACATTTGAGGTTGGACAATTTGAGGACTTTGATTATTGCTGATAATAAATTAACTAGAATACAATTAAGCACGGACGATGATGGGGATTTTACTTCTTTAGAAGATGATGACCCGGAAAGGGTAAAAAAGATTAAGAACAATTATAATTTTTTATTTAATTAATTTTTAATTCCAGACTTTACCTTCTGGGAAATCACGCTTAATGTTTCCGAATTTATCAATGTTGGATATCAGCAACAATTTATTAAAAGAAGTCCCAACGAATATTTACGACCTAAATAACCTCTCAGTGTTGAATATCAGCGGAAACTTAGGTAAACAAATTTTGAGATAGATTGCCCAGAAATCCGCGAAACTAAATCTATTTTTAAATTTACCGATTTAAATTTAGACATCAACGAGTTGCCGCCGCAAATGGGATTGTTGTCGCGTTTGTGGAATCTGAACACCAGAGGTTGCTCGTTGCAGGAACCGCTTAAGTCGATGATCGACAGCAAGAAATATAAAACGATGGATATTATTGGTTATTTAAAATCGGTTCTTGAAGACGCGAGACCGTACGCTAGAATTAAATTAATGATTGTGGGCGTTCAAGGGATTGGAAAAACTAGTTTGTTGGAACAACTAAGACAAGAAGGAGTTAGTAGAAAAAAACCTGAGGTACCAAAGATTATTTAAATTTTTTTTAGGTTATAATAATTTATTTTGTCCACAACTACCTTATAATATATACCTTATAAATGAGTTTTCTAAATCAAAAGGGTAGTCATTTTTCACGGAGTGAATAATTTTTCACGGGTAATCAATTTGTAATAATAATTATTTGAAACGTCAAAATTTCCAAAAACATCAATTTAATTTAATTTTTTAGGACTTTCTAAAGATTTGAGATTAAAAAAACGTAAACAAATTCCTTTTTTCCTATGATTTAAACATAAATTAATTAATTTTCTTAAAAAAAGAACATGACGTTTCGTAAAATTGACATTTAATTTTGACAAATTGTTGTGAAGTTGGTTACAGTTGGTAACATTGAATTTGTGTCACATTGACGTTTAAACTTTATTCAAAAATTTATTTAAAAAAATAAATTTATGGAATCAATTTCAACAGAAGTCGTGGACAAAGTATAGTATTTTATTCACATAGCCCTATAATAATAACCATATAATAACCCTCATTATAAGCTTGTATAATAATATACTATTTTTTTAAGCATTGGGCAAAACGTATGGGAAATAAAAACATAAACGTAAAAACTTGTCGCGGTACAAATATATCAACGGTTGGTGTCGATATAGGAGATTGGATTTACGAGAAAAAAATTCGAAATCAATCAACACACGGCCCCGTAATTTTCAGAACATGGGATTTTGGAGGGCAAAAAGAATACTACGCAACGCATCAATATTTCTTATCAAAGCGTAGCCTTTATTTAGTTGTATGGAAAATCGCTGATGGTTACAAAGGAATCAACGAAATCCTCCAATGGTTAGTCAACATCCAAGCTCGGGCCCCGAATTCACCCGTTTTAATCATCGGAACCCACTACGACATCGTCCAAGAACGAAATCCAACCGTTTCCGAGGAATACCAACAAGTAATAAGAGATCGTTTCATTAATATAGTCGATGCGGAAAAATGCGGACTCCCTCGGGTTTTAGACACGATTGAAATTAGTTGTAAAACGAGGCATAACATAAAATTATTGTGCAATTTAATTTATGACACGGTGTTTAGTTTGAGACCGCCTGGAAGTAAAGAGTTACTTTTAGAACAAAAGGTGCCCGCTTCTTATTTGGCTTTGGAAGATGTTGTTAATCATATTTCGGCAGAGAGGCGAATTAATAATTTAGATCCGGTTTTAAATGCGGAACAATATCGGACGATTGTTACGACGGAAATGCAACAAAGATATGGAAGGAGTTTTAGGGATGCTGGTGAATTACATCAAGCTACTTTATTTTTACACGATAATGGTAAGAACAAAAATGCCCATTATGTATGGTATATAGTATACAGGTGTATCTAAATTGATGCGAAAGATTTTAAGGGGTGATTTTTCAGCGAAAATTAAAAAACCACTTCTCCTCCAAGTTACAGCCCTCTAAAATTTGGAAAAAAAATTGTTCTTTAATAAATTCACTATGGAGGAATTTGGAAGGATGAAATTTGGTAGATAACTATTACTAATAAGGTGATAGTTTTTGACGATTTTTATAACCCTAATATGTTTTTATAAGGGGGTGAAAAAATCCACCCCTATGATACTTCGCATCAGAACTTTTTAATGCATCTAAATTTTTCTATTCAAAAAATTAATGAAAATAGAGGGATTCAATATGCAACTTTTTTGTCTCTTAACATTTTCTCCTAAAGTTGTTAGTTTGTCCATAAAAAAATAAAATAGTACCTATTTGACACAAATTCATAGTATGGTTATTATTTATGTAAAAATATCAAGTAGGCTGATGTCATAATGACAAATTTTTCAATATTAAGATGAGTTTTGAACAGTTTCTCCCAAAATTGTTAATTTAATCAAAAAAAAATAAAGAAATAATAATACACAGACACTAACAATAACAATTAACAAAACTACAAAAACAAATAATAACGTTAACAAAATATTAATAATCATAATAAATATTGAAAATGCCGCCCCTCAGCAGCGACGCACGATTCTACCCTTCGCCTCATTGAATTTCGTATTCTTTCAAATATTCCTGGTGTATTGCTAACAGTTTCACATGATGCGATGATACAATTCCGTAAATCTTTGATATTTTCAACAGGAGTTGAATAAACCAGGGTTTTAAGAAAACTCCAAATACGGAAATCTAATGGATTTAATTCCGGAGATCTGGCTGGCCAATTCTGAGGACCACCGCTGCCTATCCAACGTTTTGTATAAACTTCGTCTACGTAGCGACGAGCGTTAATACTAAAATGCGCATGTACCATAATTCTCGCTTGATTTCTATCGAAACGTCATCAAGAAGCAGGGGCAACTCCTCTTCGAGGAAATTACAGTATGCGTCTCCATTTAATCTCATTGGAAAAAAATATGGTCCAATTAAATAATTGTCAATGACACCAAGCCATACATTTAATGAAAATTGGTGTTGAAAATTGGATTCAACAATTTTATGTGGATTTTCTTCAGCCCATATGTGATTATTATGAAAATTTCTGATGGATTCTTTTGAAAAGTTACAAAATCAGTAAACAAAATACGACATAAAAACTGCGGGGTTTGTGTAACCATTTGAAGAATCCATTGGCAAAAAATTAACCGAAGTAGAAAATCTCGCACGTTGCAGATGATAAGGATACAAAAGTTGTTCTTTTAAAATACTAAACGCGCTGGAATGGCTTACGTTTAATTGTTGAGCAATTTTTCTTGTACTGGTTCTGGGAGAGTTCTCAATTAAATTAAAAACTTCTTCCTCTAGTGCTACATTATGTACTTCTCATGACGTCCGCAATCGACAATTCTTCTTGAAAAAAATGTTGCATATTGAATCTCTCTATTTAAATTAATTTTTTAAATAGAAAAATGTAGACGCATTAAAAAGTTCTGATGTGAAGTGATGTGATAATTACATCAAGTTATTATTTATATTATAATAATATTACTTCTTTTATGAAGCTTTTTCATCGAGAAAAATTAACAACATTAATTTGTATGTTTAGACTGGTTTTGACTTGATAATAATATATGTTTATTTATTTATCGTTTTTTATGGTAACCGGAAAATCCGTTTTGGCCAAAAAGTTATATGAAAGACCCCCCTTAATTTTCATTGAAAAATCACCCCTTAAAATTTAGATAACCTGTATATCTTGGTATGTATCAACTTTGGTTGGTACCTCGAAGTATCTCGAATTATTGGAGGGTACATTGCCATTTAAGGAACTTTAAGTGTTATTCGTTGCTCATTTGTTTTCTGAAATAAAAACAATTGAATACTGCCTTATTATGGCAAATAAAATATTAAACAACTTTTGTATAAAATGTTTATACAAGATATATACTATGTTCCATACATAATGGGCACCTATATATACTATATTCCATACATAATGGGCCATAGAAACCAGGGCGTACCTACCTACATACCTAGTTTGTCCCACATAAAATACAACATGTCAATATAATTTAACATTACAGTAAAACTTCAACATATTATAGCTTAACAAAAATATACAACAATCTAGCGCTGAATAACAAATAAAACTAGACTAACACTAGCACTAGAACTAGAAACATTCCATTTAGCTGTGCGTCTCTTAACCACTTAAGCGTTTCATTTTTGTAAGAAAAGGTGTTTAAAATCTGTCAGCTTGTTTTATTTTATTTTCTCTTTCTTTAAGTCTTAAAAATTAGTAAGGAACCTGAAATTAAGTAAAAAACAAGAAATGAAATGATTTAATTTTAAAATAGTTAAATTTATTCAATAAGAAATTTGGGTATGACATATTTTAAAACATTCAATGCACAATTCTACTTTATAAACGTATTGGAGAGAGTTTTTCTTCAACTTATCCATATTTTTCAATAATTTTTTGAATTTCCAAACATGATTTTAGAGCTTCCTGTTTTTTATATACCAAAAGAATTCCAAATTGTCTGATGAAGAAGGTGTTGAAACATTTTATAATAATATTTCTTTCCGCGCATTTTGATAATAGGATAACTTGTTAGACGATGATCAACTTTGTTAACACCGCCCATAGAATTGTTGTAATCATTGATAAATTTTGGATTTTTTTTAGAATCTTGCCTTCTTTCAACTTCTGCCTTCATCATTTCTGTATTCTAAATTCTTGATAAGAAGCCAACGTCCTTTTTGTCGTTTCCATTTCATAACACATACTTTTTCTCTCTGGTATATTCCCAATATTTCTCTTTTTTTCAACTTTTTCTTTTGCAGATTTTTCGGCATATCTTTTCTGTTCAATTTCATAGTACCAAATATATCGGTTTTGAAATCCAAAAGAATGTCCGCACGTGTCGGGGAAGTATAAAAATTGTCAAAGACATAATGTGTTTCCATTCTCTGGTCTTTATAATTATTATCAATTATTGTTCCCTTTCCTTTGTAAATGATGAATGGCAAACATATTCGGATTCCTCTTTTTAGAGGTATATAGTAGATAGTCTATTGTTACATCTCTTTCGAGTGAGAGATTTTTTATTTAGATGTTTAATGACAGGCCATAATTTATTTAGTTACATTGTCTGTAAAATGTATACAACTCTTCAATAAACTAAAAGGCCTACAGGACATAACTTTTGCGAAAAATGGTGTTTCAATCAAATTCTTCTACGACCAGTACCATTCGCATTTTGGCTTACTTACAATACCTTGCAAAATTTGAATAGTAGAAATAACGATCAATTCTCCATAATCTGTCGGTTTCCACTTCTTCAAACGTGAAAATCTTCGCGAAATTCCAGTACCACATTGAACTGCATATCTATTAGTCTCTGTTGTAATTAGATCCAGGATTTCCGTATTCCAAAATAATTCAAAATAGCGTAAAATTAATTCCTCGTTAAAATAGAAATTTACACCAGGTGTGTCGCTAAAAGGAAACCTTGACAAACAAGGTTTCTTTGAATTTAACGACATTTTTGTTCTCTAAATCAGAATCATAGGACCATGACTCTGAAAAATCACTTTCACTTTCTGATTCGCTTATCAAAATTTCCTCATCAATTTCTAACATTATTGACTAAACAAAAGATAGGAAAAAAACGGTTATAATAAGAAGTTTTACTCTAAAATAAATATTACCTATTTTACTTATATACTTATACCTCCACCACTCAAAGTGCAAGTAATATGAACAATGTTCGTAAAAATCATCTCCACATCTCGCTGTACAAGCAAACTTCGTGCAAACATACTTTCTAGTTCCTAGGTCTAGTGTTAGTTCTAGTTTTATACTATCACTAGAACTAACGCAAGAGCTAGAACTAGAATCATTCGGGTTTAGTCGTCTTGAGAGACGTGCGGCTAAACCCGAATGTTTCTAGTTCTAGGTCTAGTGTTAGTTCTAGTTTTATACTATCACTAGAACTAACACAAGAGCTAGAACTAGAATCATTCGGGTTCAGCCGTCTTGAGAGACGTGCGGCTAAACCCGAATGTTTTTAGTTCTAGGTCTAGTGTTAGTTCTAGTTTTATACTATCACTAGAACTAACGCAAGACCTAGAACTAGAATCATTCGGGTTTAGTCGTCTTGAGAGACGTGCGAAATCCGAATGTTTCTAGTTCTAGCTCAAATGTTAGTTCTAGTGACAGTGCTATATAGCGCTAGTTAGCATTAGATATCATTACTTTGTATATTTTTATGGAACTAAAACTAGAACTAACACTAGACCTAGAACTAGAA